AAGCCCAAAATCTCTGTAAATGTTTATGAAAATTAATAAAATATAATTATAGGAAAAAAAAAGATGCTTTCCTAAATAATTCAGCTTGAATGACGTACAGTTTTTGATCTGCTTTAGCACTTTAAGGATTTTTAGGTTAAATTTTTGGTTTTCTGCATATAATTATTCAGATATATTGTGCTTCATTCGTGTGCACTGTGTTTTATACAATCATTCATAAAATTGTGTTTTATTATGTTGTTGTTGTTGACTGCCATCGAGTCGAGCACGACTCATAGCAACCCTACGAACAAAGCACCTGAAGCCTTTCTGTAACTATCAACATCTATCAAAGTTCATAGTTTCCAGAGGCGTGTTGTTTAGGAAGTGGATGCCACTCCTGCTTCCAAATGCCTTTTATCATCACCACACCTCATCGAGGTCCCATTGCGCCTTCACCCCCCACATCATCCTCTGGTCTCTGCTGTCCTCATTCTTCCAACTCCCTTTTCCTCTTACCTCTCCTTGCTGAACAATGGGACATATCTCAGTCCCATTTACCAGTTTGAATAGCCGAATTGACCTTCCATCAATTCTTCCCAGGATGCTCCTCCCTCGTCTTGGTCCTCTATAATGTTCCTTGTCTGCATATCCTACTTGTGCTCTTCCCATCTGCTTCCCACCCCACAATTATATTCCTGTCTTCATAGTAGCAGGAAACAACATTTCACTCAGCATAATGTCCTCTAGACTCCCCCATGTTGCATAGTATTTTCTTACACCAAAATACATTTTATTACTAAAGGATGTTGATATGAGCATACCAATTTAAAGTGAAAATTATTTAAGCTTGACAATAATACTAAACACACTGGACAACCTTATTCACAATTATTGGAGTTTACAGAACATTCGTTAAATATTTCTCTATTTATTCCTCCTTTCCCTCCCACTGTAAGAATCATTCCTCTCTGTTAAAGTGACAACCACAGACACCCTATCTCAATGTTGCCTGAAGTCGTTGTTGTTATTGTTGTTGTGTACCATAGAGTTGGAACTGCCCCATAGCCGACCCTCCAGTAGATTTTCAGAGGCAGTAAATTGCACAGGAGGAAACTGTCCATCCTTCCGTGGAGCAGCTGGTGGCCTTGAACCATGTGCCTGTGGGACTGCACTTCTGAAGGGTTTTGGTTGATGACTACTACTAGTATCTACAGAAGAGCTGGAAGGAGGATCCTGGCTGGTAGAAGGAAGATCCAATTCATCAGATGCCGGAACTGGCTCTTCTTCTTACTTGCTATCAATTTCTAGGCCTGACTCTGAACTAATACCTCCAAATCCTGCCTCCACAAATACTTCATCTCCATCGTCACCTGTTGCTGTTTCATATGTTGTGGATAAAGTGTCAGTGGATGTTGTCACCATTGGGAGTAACTGGGAGGCGTGTTTTGAGGCATAAGATGTGGCACTCTCATTAAAAACAGTCACTGGAGGGGAGCTCTGGTGGCCTAGTGACAAGGACCTGCAACTACAATCCCAGAGTTGCACGGTTCGAATCCACCAGATGCTCTGCGGGGGAAGGAGGGACAATCTCCTCCTGTACTAGTCAGATCTAATTTGACGGTACACTCACACAAAAATAATAAT